TATGCCCGCGTTTTTTTCCTCGTAAAGTCCTAGTAATGTTACTACGACTTTACGAGGAAACTGTTTTCTCGTAAGTATACGAGAACCTTACGAGGAAACATGGTTTCCTCGTAAACTCGAAGTAAACTCGTAGTAATTTTACGAGGAATTATTTTCCTAGTAAAGTTTCCTAGTAAATGTTTAGTTTTCTTGTAGTGTATCTCTCATTCACTGAGTATTTACTTAGTCTATATGCAGCTGTTTTGTTTTAGTCCATAAATATGTTTCTTCAGCTTAAGACAATGTTGTTCTTGAGAACTTCTTATCTCATCTTGTACAATAACATGTTTTATATCTCACGATTTCTATTCCTCACAAGAACCACTTATATCCACTGGTTTAATCATCATATGGCGTCCTTCTCATTTGGCCAAAATACGCCTTCTCTTCTTTTCTTATATAACCTCACGTTTTCATCTAATTCAATTTAATTTATGAATGGATTCTAATATTGACGTGGGTTCATGATCCTCACTTTTATATCTATAAGTTCAAGTGCTACCTTTTATGCGCTTCCTTATATGAATATATCATCTATGTGTCGACACTCTTACGTGGTTCCATTGTGTTCCAGACATGATATAATCGATTTGAGAATATTATCTAGGACCTTTATTACCTTGCAGCTTGGCGTCCCAAATTATATGGTCTAGTACCTTAGATGTTCAGCTAGCCAGTCTTATCTCCATGTCTGGTCTGGTTCTCTTTGACCTCGGATTTGTTATCATTCTATGCACCTTCCTATTTTCTTTACGAGGATTCTTATCTCATGGAACTTATTGGTCTACCTTGTCTAGACTCTGTAGCAACTTGACTGTGTCTCTTTAGGACATCAAATTCGTTGATGCAAGCTGGTATGACTTAGTCATTATTTTATTTTCAGGTCAGCAAATGTGTCTGGCATTTGATTAGTTAGCTTTGTATAATATTTGTATTTATCTTTGGACGTCTTACTTCACTTTCTTTAGTCTGAGGATCTTGTCAAGACAATGATGGTTTATTCCCTTCTATTTTTATCATTATTTTACTTCTTTACCAGCTTATTACTTTCTCCCCCTTGATGTTGGATAGTCAGATTCATTAACATGCAATCCGTGTACCTGGCCACTAAAAAAACCACCCATGGTCGGCTCTAGGTATTAATTGGCCTAAGGAGTTTCCCTTGTGTTTATGCTACACACGTGAGATTCTATGGGATAACTCTTTGCGCCCTTTTCAATATCAATCTTTGCATCATGTTTTGAACCAAGATGACCAATCCGGTTTATGCCATAAAGTGAATAATCTCGTGGGTAAACCATTCTAGTTACCATGGATTTTGCCTCGATCATACTGATCTTTTCATAGTAAAATCAGTAAAGAATGCATGTATAGTCTTGACCACTTTTCTATGGGCTTTGGCGACTTTTATAATTTGAAGGAACTTTTATTTCCTTTGCCCATGTTTCTATATGGAAACCATTTTATATCTTTATAATTCAATGGACATTTCTTGGGTGAATATAAATCATGCCATTTAGAAAATGATACAATGCCATGGCTGTGGTCCTCTATTAGATTGACTATACTCGCAATTTTAAGCTCATATTGGCGTTTTCGACAAAAACATTCATCTTTATCAAGTAAAAATCAGACAAGACAATAGCAATAAAATAAACTCACAGAAATCATATTACTATTAAAACGTAAATAGCAAAGTAATCAAAGCAAACACCAATTGAAAATATAAAACAGAAAACATAATGTCGAAATCAGCTTATTCTCTTAGGCAATCTGAATTCTCATAATCCATAAGGTCATCATGCTCATGATCAAAGTCATTTTCCCCATCATGGTGGACCAAATGGGCTTCTGGATTTTTCCCTTTCTGGCTCTTTTTATAGAGGCCACAAAGATGTCTGGAAGTCCTACAATTCTTAGCCCAATGGTTGTTCATTCCACACATGTGGCACACTGATTTGGATGAGTGTGGTGGTTTAGAGATACCACCACGTCCTCTGCCTCGACCATGGCCAAAATTGGGTCCATGACCATGGCCAAAATTGGGTCCACGACCACGGTTGTAGTGGTTCCCACGGCCATGTGAGCTATAGTGTCCACACCCACCACGTCCTCTCCATCCACCACGGCTATGACCGTGTGGTTTATCACTCTGGACGTGATTACTTTCTTTAGAATCTTTCTTTTCTTCTATAGCCTTATTGGCTTCAGGTAATGAGGTTGAGCCAGGAGGTCTCATCTCACTGTTCATCATGAGCAACTCATTATTAGTCTCATCCAGTAATAGGCATGAGATCAGATCAGTATAGGTGGTGAAGCATCTTTCTTTGTATTGATGTTGCAGCAACACATTGCTTGAATGGAATGTGGAGAAGGTCTTTTTCTAGTAATTCCTTCTCTGTTACTTCTTCACCACATAGTCTCATCTTTGAGATGATTTTAAATAAAACTGAGTTGTACTCATCCACGGACTTGTAGTCCTTGAATCTAAGATTCCTCCACTCATATCTAGCCTTTGGTACTAGCACCGTTTCCTGGTGATCATATCTTCGTTGTAAAGCGGTCCAAAGGTCTAGAGGATTTTCAATAGTGAGATACTGATCTTTTAGACCCTCAGTGAGATGATGGCGAATAATACTTACTGCCTTGTATCTATTTATATCATCCTCATTGTTATCCTCGATGATAGTCTCACTGAGTCCTTTTGACCTCGGGTTGATTTTAGTATCTAGTGCCCATGGAAAATAGTTATTTCCAGAGAGATTTAGGACACCATAATCCAAATTGCAAATTTTCGACATCTGAATCAATATCAATCATATTTAGGGTTTCATAATGCGTATATCAATCAATACAATTGGATATTTATGGATTATCAAACAATACAATTGGATTTTATTCGACCAAAACAATTCTAATTGACCATGGTGCATAACAATCCTAAAGTTCGAGTTCTATATGTAATAAAGATGATAAGACCACACGGCCATGATATATGATGATGCAAGCAATCAGATTCAAACAATTACGCAACCAAGAACTTTAATAACAATTCGGATTCATCATTAGGTTTACGGTTTACTATCATGCAACAAACAATCCAGATTCTCTATTAGATTTAGGGTTAACAAATTTAGGGTTAACAACTTAGCAATATGCACATGGGTTTAGGGTTTCCAGATTAGGGTTTCAGATTTTAACAATTAAACAATCTTAGTTAATGATCCTTAAACCTCAAAACAATTTAAAATCTATCAATCAGATTTAACAATTTGTGATTTAGGGTTTTCAAGGCTCTTTTAGGGTTTCAATTTCGAAATTTAGGTTAAACAATCAATCTATCAACCTAAAACTCAAAATCATCAATCAGTTGAATTAATCAAGAACAATCATCAAAGTCAGATTCACAATTAGGGTTTTAGGGTTTTAACCTAGTTTTAGGGTTTCGACCCAGATTTAGGGTTTCAAAATTCAGAAACAGTATTCTGTCTTTCAAAACATCAATTAAATCAATCAAGATAACAAGAATCAAACCTAAACTCAATTTGGATCAATAACATGCAATTTAGGGTTTCAAGGCCCTTCAAATTCGAGATTTAGTGTTTCAGATTCAATATGCAATCAATCTAGCAGACTTAACTCTCAATCAATAAAATCAAACAAATTAGGGTTTTCCAAAAGAAATTTGCAATCAGATTCAAGACAAATCGCGGATTAGGGTTTAGGGTTTCATTTCAGTTTTAGGGTTTCAAGTTCAGTAATAGATCACAAAATAAAATAATCTAGCAACCTAAACCTCATGACATCAAAGATTAAAAAAATCATTCAAAGATCAAACGAATTCAATTTAAATTTTAGTTTTAAAAGTTTTGGATTGATCAATAGATCATGGGAGGGTTTAAGGGAACAATATGATCATTAGATCATAGGATTTTGAGATACAAAACAATTAGGGTTGCAATTTTAATTGATTAAACAATCTAGGGGTATCGAACTTAAGATTATGATCTTTGATTTACTCATTAGGGTTTGGATCTATTATCCTATGGTTTGATTAGGTTTTACAAATTTTAATTGTCTCAATTTATATCAAACAATCCAAATTTGATTGTGGGTTCTCTTTAAGGTTTCCGGATTTACTTTTATCTCAAGTAGGGTTGAACGGACCACCAAAGAGAGAGCTGGACGATGAACCGGGAATCGCCTAGGATCGGGTCGAGAATCGGATCAGGGTCGGCTGGGAGCTTCTCGCGGATGAGCTGGAACGAGTTTAGACCGGCGGTTGAGCAAGGCGAGCGGACCGTCGGTCGGGTTTTGAATCACCGGTGGAGGATCACGAATTGTAAGTTTTCTTGGTGTAGGGTTTTGGCCGAGAAAAGGAAATAGTCAAGGAAAAAGGGAAAATCGCCGAGAGAGTGGATTGATCGCCGGCGAGGGTTTTTGTGGTTTATGGAAATCAGATTTTAGCTTAGGTTTTTAAAGCAATTCATGCCCATAACATGTTGTAAGCTAGAGAGACTTGTATGAATATTGTGCATATTATTAATGATCAATAGGCTCCTTTTATATAAAGATTACAAGATATAGTAAAAAGGAAAATATCCAAATCCTCAACCAACTAGGATTATGAAAACTACTAATACATGGATAAGGAAAAAAAGACATTATGACCGCCTATATCTACTGGGTTGAATGGCCTATGATCTAAGCTATAGTTATGCCCATCCGCAATAAACATGTTATTTTTTCTTCATATTTTTAAAAGTTTGAAAAATATTATTATGATGACGTTACTGTTTCACAAAAAGCCAAAAAGGAAATAGTGGCTGTCGCCTTGTCGGATAAGCTCAAGTCTATATCCACCAACCTTCTGGCTAGGGTAGAGCTTTTGTTGCAGAAACATCACCAGAAAATTACAAATGAGAAAGTACTACTGAGACAGTCCATTGAAGGAGCTGTAATGGAGAGAGGTTTTATCTCCCTTAAGACAATGCAGATCGCAACCATTTCCTCTACAATACGAGTGTTTTACCAGAATTTTAGGATGCGCTCTACTCGCTCATGCTTCTTCTGCGGTTAGAACATGGGACAAACAGTGGTTCTTGACAAGTGAATGAGCGCATTCAAAACTCTACTCAAGCTTTGATTATTTGTTCCTTCACTTGTCCCCCTCCTTTCACCATATCTGAATAAACCGCCTTAGTCATGCGTAAGAGACTCTAAACTTGAAAGTAGTACAATCACCAAAAGTGAAAGGTTGGTCACAATCTGGACCACCCTTCTTATTCTCATAACCAGAGTAATGAACAATGAAGACTAAGATAATTTTAATCAAGCTATGAAGTATGAACACAAGAAAACCAGAACTCCAACATCTACCAATCAATCCAAAAGCAAACATCATCCATCACTTACCCTGCTCAAGCGTATCTAAAAACGAACAACACTCATACCCCCAAAGCAGAGTGAAAACTCAGGTCTTTTGAATCGAGAAGAGTTGGTTCTGACAACAAACAAACTAAGCATCAATGATTAAACAACTCTCATAAGAGAAACAGAAAACAGAGTATTATTTATTATTTTTTGATGGACTCGGAGGGAGTCTTGGAGACGATCGAAAGGGCGTGTAATCCACTATCGAGCTCCTCCCTGAGCAGATCGTAAACCAGCCTGTGCCTCTTCACCAGATTCATCCCTTCGAATCCTTTCGACACGATCCTCACATTGAAATGCGTCTCTTCGTCTGTTCCTCTGCCTTTCATCCCCGCGTGACCCGCGTGCTGGTACGAGACATCCTCTATCACTAACTCCACCGGTTCCAGCTCCTTCTCCAGCTTCTCCTTTATCCTGCTCGCCCGATTCTCGATCCCGCCAGAGTTATTCTCAACGCTGCTCATCGCTCTGAAACCAGTGGAACTCGAGTGGGAGAGTCTCGGAGGATTAAGCGGCGATTTCAGGGTTGGGGGACGGTGAAGTCCGGATACGATTAACCTTATTGAAGAAGACGAAAACATGGCCGGCCACCTGTGTCTGTGTGTGTTGAGAACAGCCCCAAAATGGATACGTTACCGTTTCGTGCGCTTACTCTTCCCAGAAAGACTTTATTACGTTAACTTCCACAAATTTCCAAATATAATTATACTACCCCCACATTTTCTAATAAACGTTTTTAAAAAGAGCACCCAAAACTCTGAAAGTGTCTAAAAACCCCCAGAAACCAAAAATACATTTTTATATCCAACAACAATCTAACATTATCAAGTGTCCCTAACTAAGTCCTTAAGCTCAAATTAATATCTTTTAAAGAAAAGCAGGTTGGAGACGAGGCATTCGTTTGTTAATTAGTAGTCGATTGTTTGTTGTCCTTAACGCCACGCGTCACAACAACAGGAGAGGATGACAAAGTCGGGAGAGCTACAATCCGTGTTTTATCGAGTTAAATTTTCTTCACCTATCTTCTCTCCTTCTGTGTGGCGACGACGATTGCACCGAGCTCGAGAACCGCCACCTCTCCGCGTATTCGCATCTCTTCTCCCTCTCTTCTTCGATCTACCCACCGATTCACATCTCTTCTCAGTCAAATCAATTGAATCGATTGAAAAATCAACTCTTTAAATCTAATTAGAACCAAGAAAATGTCCCAACAATAATCATCAAAATTATTTTGGTCCTCAAAATAAACAATCAAAATTTTCTAAGGACTAAAAAAACTCATTACCAATAATCAACAAAAATTCATAAGTCCTTAACTTTGTCCTTAAACCTTAAAGTAATCAATAATAATGCTAAGGACACAATTTGGGTCCTTCCTATAATGATGCTCTAATACTATAAAGAAGATTTTTCTATCTTTTGATAGTGCCATGTCACTAATAGGGTGAAGGAGGAGATGACATGTGGCATTGGCATGTTACAATCTCATTTTTTTCTCTCGGTGAATGCTCTCTTGCTGGACTTTAATCGCGGGCTTCTTACGAACTGGTCTTCTCAAGTGATTCAACTTCTTTTACTAATCTTATAACGGGTTTGGAGGATTAAAAATAGATCTGCCGACTTCTTCTATACCTTTATCCCACTTATCATCTACCGGTTTCCGCTCAGTCTTTGAGATTTAACAGCTTATTACTTCTCTCAGTTATTGCCTTCAATCTTGGAACCTCACTAAGTCCTCATTAATTTTACTCAGAAACCTCTTCGATTATTCCAAATTTCTTATCCTATAAATAGAGATGCAGTGGACATCAAATATCATGCCCTCTCTTCTTTGCTTTCTTTTTCATACGAACTCAGGTGACAATAATGTCTGTTTCTGATCTCATGCTTTCTGAGTTGAAGAGCTGTCGTTTTAAGCAGACAATTTTTACGGTTCTACTGCGTTTCCTGGATGCAAGGAATGTGAAAAGGAGTGCAGCACGAGCTTCCAAATTCAACCGTAGCCATTTGATTCACCAAGAAAGAGACATTAATCAAATCCCGACTGAGATGATCGGTTAAGCAGTTTCAAAAATTCATGGCTCTGGCTTACAGAAACCCTATAAGATATTAGGTTTGTGTTGTTTTAATAAGTTGCTTGCTTATCCCAAATACAATTCTCATTATTATCATTTGCAGAGTGAGTTATATGTTCTCTAATGTAGTTTGAGCAGAAAGACATGGAGAATATACGTATATATTGTATTTGTTGTAGCTCATGACCATTTATCGTTTTTTTCTAATTACTGTAATAATTATGAGCCTCAAACTTTTGCACTCATCTTTTTGGAATTTTGTTAGGCAAGAAATTTTTCCATCAGCTTAGAGCAGGAGTCAGCTATTGCTATGCTTTAGTAAGGAATGACTCGCCAAGTGCTTAATTTTCGCTGACCCACAATTTGTTTACATTCCTATATTAACATTAGGGAGAATTGGAAAAATGGGACACTTTGAAGTTTTGTTTGTCAGAATAAGATTTTTCATACTTTTGACCCTTTATAGACATGTTTTACCCTTCTTTAATGGAAAATAGTAAACTGAATTTTAAAAATGTAAAAAAAATATGAAAATAGTTGTAAACTTAAGTATGACAATATATATGTTTAAATACAAAAAATAAAAATTTGGGATCATATTTTATTTAATCTTCTAGCCAAAGTTAGAATACTCATTCTGGTAATCTACTTAGTTTATAAATCAGATTCTAAGTGATAAACATAGATATATCAAAGATATATATATATATATATCGTAATCTAACCTTTCTTGTATATTCTGACAAAGATATATACCGTAATATAACCTTCCTTGTATATTCTGACAAAGATAGATATAGTTACGTTATAATCTAGAAAGATGTCTTTGTTCTACCTAGAGCTTGAAAAAGATATATAGCCACAACTCAATGATATAGCTCGGCTACATTACGTGCCAAAACATGTTATGCCTTTTACCTTATGTGTCCCTCTAGGAAGAATATGTTTCATACCTCCTATATTGTGTTCTGTGTAGGTAGTATACATATTATAGGCAAATCCTGAAAATATGGAAACTTCCATATTCGGTTAAAGAAGTTTCCTAAATCTAAATTAAATCTACCCTAAATCTAGCAAAGAATATTTTCTCCAAATTTCACGTCCTTCTCCTCCTCCCACGATCTTTTTCTCTTATTTTGTGTTTCTCTCTTCTTCATCCACACAATCATCTCTTCTCTCTATCAATACATCATGGTTCTAATCTTATATATTAAAACATAAGTCATGACTTGACTTCATGTGTGATTTTTTTTTAAAATGAACTATTACTAGAAAGTCATGTTACATTAACTCTCTAATAATCTTATCATTATTATATCTTATGAAAATCATATCTAGAATAACAAAGATACGCTTAACAATTTGGTTTTGGTAAATTACCCCACACCTTCCAACTTAATCACACAACATATGTCAATAGATATAAGTTTAGGAATCTTCTATTATTTATAAGGAAATATGTCGATAATAGTTAAATGAATCCACAATATATTAACAAAAATTACAAATTCGTAATATAGAATATTTATATACCCTAACAAAATTTACACGCTATATATACTAGATAAATTTATTTTGATGTAAATTTTTAAAATTTTATTGTTGTAAAAAAGAAATTGTTTAAAAATTATTTTTGTAATAAAATTCTTTATAATATTAATTTATGAAGCTATAAATTTAGTTTTTAGCAAAAATTTCTTCGAAGTTTATATTATCTTTACAAATTAATGTATACTAATATTCATCAAGCTCTATTTATATTACTTTATCTAAAAATGAAATACTAATCTAACGAACAATAAAATATAGAAGAAGAAGAAACAAACACATGTTGGAAAAACATGTATAATAGAGAAAATTTGAGACAATCTATTTTATTAAAACACGTATTATATAATATTATTATGTTTGAAAAACATTTACTATACATATCGTAAATATGTGATTACTATAATATATACCAATTTACTAATCTAACGAACAATAAAATATAGAAGAAGAAGAAACAAACACATGTTGGAAAAACATGTATAATAGAGAAAATTTGAGACAATCTATTTTATTAAAACACGTATTATATAATATTATTATGTTTGAAAAACATTTACTATACATATCGTAAATATGTGATTACTATAATATATACCAATTTACAAGTGAAAAAAATATATTTATATAACTAACTCTAAACGAAAACAAACACCCGCGCGGTTGCGCGGGTCAAAATCTAGTCTATGTTAAATCTGGTGAATGGGTGTCTAGTTGCAGTGAAGATAGTGAAAAGGATGGTCGATCTTGGAGAGGAGTTGTTGTGTGAAACATGTCTGAATGTGATGTTGTGTGAAACATATTCGTCCAGATATTTTACCTTATGTGACGATTAAATCTGGTGTATGAATATCTCAATTGATATCTTCTCTATTTTGGTATGACAGCCCAGAAGAGTACAAACAAGTCGCTCATGTCAACTCAGAGTCTGATGAACAACATCATTTAAGAACTTTAACATATACATATCATAATAGAGGTTTTCACTGGCTCATCTTCAGAGTTTGAGATCAGTAATCATGTTCCTAAATTTCAATATCTTTTCAAAATTAAATCTCTAAGCAACAATTGCAAATCAGATGAGAATACAAAAAGGTAACATTAAAGTTTCTTGGGTTTAATGGTGGTTGAAGTTCTTTTTTCTCTGTCTCTGTTTATTTCTTCTTTTCACAATTTTAGCTTTCAACTTTACACAAGACTTCACCAAAAGATCAACTGACTCTACATTGTGAAACCTCATACTTTCTTTCTCCTTATGATTACTCCCAAAAGATTCTCGTCTAATGTCATTTGCAGCAAGAGACACTTGAGCCTGTCCCTATTAGTCTTCTTATTCACTCAAACAGCTAACATCATGTGTCTTTCTTGTTCTTTTAGCATTACGTCTAAAGTTTCCTCCTGCGGGAGTTAATGGCCATGAGATGTTTATTCTCTATGTTTTTTCACTGTCACCCTAACACATGGCAAACCAAAAAAATTGATTAGCCCACAAAAGTTTCACTGTAAAACAAAAACAGTTATGGTTAAGATGTTCTTACCGGTGGATTCTTTCTCTTTTGTAAAATCTTTGGGTTTAACCAGAAAAACGTGGTGACCCATCACCATACTTTTGTTACTAAACCACTGTTTATTTGCTATAGCAGAGGAATTTCTTCTCCTTTCTTGGAATTCTCCACTGACTTTATGGAGTTCCTCATACGTTGTGAACTGAATAGCACCATGAGAAACTAAATCAAAATCAAACCCACCCTAAAATGAAAATAAGAAGTAAATCATTCAGTCTGTCAACTTAATGGTAGCTTCATAAGCTGATATTTTTTGACAAGAGGTGAAAAAAGAAAAACAAGATAGTAAACTAACCAATGCAAGAACAGGGACAATAATGCCCTTTATCAAAAAAAAAAAAAAAGGATAGGGACAATACCCTTGTATAAGTGATGATTAATCGACCCCTAGAACTAATAATAATTGAAAAGATATACAATTCAAATCTTAAAAATTAGGGTTTTAAGAATC